AAAATATTAATATTTGCTTTACTTTGTATTGAGCACTTTATTAAAAAATAAATGCTACGAACTGTTGATTCTTACCCCAACTGCTTTTTCTCTCATTTGTGTGTTGTGTGTGTGTGTATATATATATATATATATATATATATATATATATATATATATATATATATAGTGATTGCAATGGGTAAATTGTCGACATTTTATATTTTCAATTTCGCGCATGCGCGCTGTTCGTTTTGAACTTTTTTGACTGCACAGTATAGTAGGGCAACGTCTGCGAGTAAAAGAGCGGCATGATGTAATTCTTATTTTGTATATTATTTATCTATCTATCTATCTATCTATCTATCTATATATATATATATATATATATATATATATATATATATATATATAATTTTAAGATCGAAAAGGTTAGATGTAACTGTAAGTTCTATGTTAACAGTTTCTTCTATCATACTTATCGCTTGTAGAAATCTCTTCTTGATTCTTACTTGCTATTTATCCGATACCTCCCCAACGAGGCGAGATGTGACACAAGGCCGCTTTTTAATATGAGGATTTCTGAAGTCCAAAGTCGCGGTCAAAAATTGCTCGTAGACCCCGTATACTAGGTGTCGGGTAGCTGTCTACATCCCCATACGACGTCAACAGTGACATCAACATGCAGCGGCTACAGTCTGCTTCATGCTTAAATGGAATTTTTTTTTATATATTTGTATTTACATAAGTGTTATGGTCCGGTTCCTTGTACCACGGTGATAGTCCAAGGTAGAACCAATAAAGAAGAACTCGAACACTGATATGGAATAACACAGATATATTACAAACAGGAATATATACAGAGAAGTAGAAAGTGTTAGTACGAACAATCAGGTTTAGTAGTAATTGTTTGAACGCGACTCTGTTTCGGACTGCCTCTGACTCGGCTGACTGACTCGCTCGCTCTGACTGACTGACAGACTCCTGACGGACTTCTGACGGACCTCACCCCAGACTTCAGACTGAACAGTATTTAGTCACCCCCGCCCCCACACGAGGGCATCATGTGGCACAAGGCCGGTTTAACGTGGGATCTCCGAGCCTGTGGGCTCGGACAAAATATGCTCTTTGAACCCGTATAAACGGGTTCAGGGTCGGTTTACCTCCCCGAAAGAGACTCCCCCCTTCGGCGTAACCTCGTTCGGGTTCCTCCCCGCCCGAAGGCGGAGAGTTCAACCGATCAGCCGGTCGCCCGACATTGGACTGAACTCCCTGCTTCCTCTTGAGGCGCAGTATTTATTACGTATGGAATAGTCCATTATGGCATTATGGATAAGGTCCCATAACAATAAGCCTTACCTCTGATAACTCTGAGTACTTTAACCCATTGATATTGCATACCTTAAACCTATATTTTTATATATTTAAAAAATATTTATATTCACTGCGTGCCAAATTATTATCGAGATAACTTTTTTTTTAATATTTCAAAAACCGTCCAACCAATTCACACAAAATTTGCACACAATATTGGCAACACTGACCTGCGCAATCACTAAAATTTTCGTACTGATCTCCGCATTGCAAATAAACTGGCGCCATATTTGTTATCAGCACGGTGATTTGAGCGTGCCAAATTATTAGAAAAGGGTAAGAATTTAGTGAAAAGATGGGTCGTAAAAGGAATTTAAGTGATGCTGAAAAGCAAACTGTCACCTCAGAACTCTCAAAAGGTAAATCTACCCTAGAAATTTCTAAAATGATAGGTAGGTGTCATCAAACAGTGAAAAAGTTCACCACCGGCCCTACACAGGTATTCAAAAGGGCAGATAAAGGCAAGCCGAGGGTTATTTCACATCGTCTCATGTCACGACTTAAACGAAAGGCCACGAAGAACCCTGGACTTACCAGTCACGAGCTTTTCAGTCGCATTGGGGATCCTACTGTGTCTAAAAATACTCGGTGTAGGTATCTGAAGGAAATAGCAACAACAAACCTGTATCGAAGCCTCCGTTGACGAGAAATCACATTCAAAATCGATTGAAATGGGCCAAGGACAATATGAAGATTGACTTCTCTAAAGTTTTGTTCACAGACGAAACTCAAGCAACACTAGATAGGCCAGATAGATGGTGCAAAGGCTGGGTAATGAACGGACAGAATCGCCATCAGCGTTTGAGACGCCAACAAGGCGGTGGAGGCATAATGATCTGGGGTGGTATTATTGGAAAAACATTAGTGGGCTCATGGAGAGTACCAGATGGCGACAAAATGACTGCTGATGCATACATAGCATTTATGAAAGAGCACCTTGAACCGTGGATGAAAGGCAAAGAGTTGCCTTCAGAAGGGCCATTGTTTTTATGCAAGATAATGCTCCCTCACATGCTGCTCACAAGACTACTGAATATTTGAAACAGCTAGGTTTCGATGGACCTCGAAAAATGAAGTGGCCAGCAAATTCTCCAGATTTGAACCCAATCGAAAACCTTTGGAGCATCATGAAGCGAAGATTGTACGCCAACGGACGACAATTTCAGGAGCAACGCTGAGTTGTGGGAAGCAATTCTTGACATATCTCGCGACATTACAGCAGATGACATCCTACAATTAACAAATTCTATGGATCGTCGACTTTTTCAAGTAATTTCAAAACAGGGAAAGCACATTCCCTATTAATTTGTTTAAAACTGTGCCTTTGTTTGTATTTGTTATTATTTGTTTGATTGTCTTATTTATTAGCTTCATTTGATCATAAAAATTCATGTGCAACATTAATAAACGTTTTGTTTGCTCAATTCTGGGAATTTTACTAAATCTTTCTAATAATTTGGCACGCTCAAATCACCGTACTGATAACAAATATGGCGCCAGTTTGCGCAGATCAGTACGGAAATTTCCGTGATTGCGCAGGTCAGTGTTGCCAACATTGTGTGAAAATTTTGTATGAATTGATTGCACGGTTTTTGAAATATTAGAAAAAAAGTTATCTCGATAATAATTTGGCACGCAGTGTATATTATTTAGATAAATGTTTTATATATTATGACCAATATAATTATTGATGAGTTTGGTTGGATCAGGAACACATGCCCCTTAATGTACTGTGTTTCTGATCAAAACAAATTCATAAATAATTATATAGGTCATACCACTACATGCCTGTCTAGAGGACTCACGTTGCACCTAGCCGAACATAGCTCAATTAGGACTCATTTAAACACACACGGAAACCTACCAAACCCAATCCACAACATACTAGTAGAAAATACAAGTATAGTAGTCTCATGCACATGTAAATAAATATAAAAATAATGGAATAATAATAAAAAAGAAAAAGTCAACACTCTGTAACATTAATTATGAACACAACCACAATGTGCTGATTGGGCTTGTAATCGGAATTGGAGAGCCGAGTTCGAATTCCAGTCGAATCCATTACATTCACTTACATGCTAATACCCTTGGGAATAGTATAAATCCTCTTTTTCTCCCCCCAGCTATAGGTAAATAACAGGACAGACCAGGTTCTATAGCCTTGGATGGCAAGTGGTCTAGGTGAAAGACAACTTGAATTCAAAACCTGCGGAGAGTCGTTTGAGGCAGGAGGTGCACCAGGTCTCTGTATTCGGCTATTCAAAAAGTGTGATTGACTCTGCACAAAGTCTTCACCAATATAATCAAATTATCTGTGCAGGTGTCTGGCTGTTGGTTCCTAGGACCCTTATACATCGAAAAACAGACGGGAGAGTCCGGCATATATATATATATATATATATATATATATATATATATATATATATATATATATATGTGTGTGTGTGTGTGTGTATTTAGGCAGCAATCCTTCTTTCATGCACATTTCATTGAATACGACAGACAAGGTGCTTTTATTTAGTTTTTTATAGTTTCTCATGCGATCTAATAATTTTTTTCTTTTCGGATGATAATTATATAAATTGTCCGAATGTCCTTTTTATTCGAGCGCTTTGGTTACATTTAGCCATTTTCAAGGATTAAATATTTTAACTGTTAAATAAGAAATAATATAATAATATCTTGACCGTTTTTTGAAAAAAATGAAAACATTTTATAAAACATACATACTATTTCTTATTTAGTTAAAATATTTAATCCTTGAAAATGGCTAAATGTATAGCCGAAAGCGCTCGAATAAAAAGGACATTCGGACAGTTTTTATATATTAAATACGAAAGATGACCAATAGACCAGAACTTTGGAGAACTCTTCCTCTGCCAATATCGTTGTTTGAAGATGTCGTTGCAGTTTCTGTAACAAGCTAGTTTTTAAGTGAGTAGGTTGTTAGCCTACTGCACAAGTGCCAACCTGGCGGACCAGGGTGTGTCTTTCGTCTGACTTCTACCCCACAGACCTGTTGAGCTTGGTTGGACCTGCTAAGGGCCAAAGCCCCCGCCCACATAGCTCTGGGGGTCGTTGAAGATCGCAAACTGTCCTATCACGTAAAAGCGACACGCCATCAGGACAGCATATCACTTCATAACTTTGACAATTACTTTTCATTATCCTTTGAATTGCATTTTAACCCGAGGAAAATAGAAAAAGAAAAAGAAAAAACACAGGAAAAAATCAAGATTAAAATAAAAAGAAAGCGGTTAACAGAAAGGAAGAAACAAAGAAAAGAGTATAAAAACAGCTTTAAAAGAAAGAAAGAAAGAAAGAAAGAAAGAGAGAAAGGAAGGAAGGAAGGAAGGATGGAAAGAAGGAAGGAAGGAAGGAAGGAAGGAAGGAAGGAAAGTGGGAAAAATAAAAAAAGTATAAGAAAGTAAATTATGGAATTAAAAAACAAAACAAACAAATAACAAACAGGAAAAATTCAAGATTAAAAAGAAAGTAAAAAAGAAGTTGAAAGAAAGGAGGAAACAAGGAGTAAAAAAACGAACATAAAAGAAAGAAAGAAAGAAAGAAAGAAAGAAAGAAAGCAAAATAAATAGAGCTGTCAGAAAGAAAGAAAGAAAGAGAAAGAAAGGAATAAAAAGATATTAGAAAGAAATAAAGAGATAGAAAGAAAGAAAGAAAGAAAGAAAGAAATAAAGAAAGAAAAAGAAAGAAAGAAAGAAAGAAAGAAAGAAAGGAAAAGTGCTGTCAGAAAGAAATAGAAAGAAAGAGAGAAAGAAAGAAAGAAAGAAAGAAAGAAAGAAAGAAAAAGATACTAGAAAGAAATAAAGAGAAAGAAGGAAAGAAAGAACATAAAGCATGGAAAGAAAGAAATAAAGAAAAAGAAAGGAAGAAAGAAAGAAAGAAAGAAAGAAAGAAAGGAAAAGTGCTGTCAGAAAGAAATAGAAAGAAAGAGAGAAAGAAAGAAAGAAAGAAAGAAAGAAAGAAAAAGATACTAGAAAGAAATAAAGAGAAAGAAGGAAAGAAAGAACATAAAGAATGGAAAGAAAGAAAGAAAGAAAGAAAGAAAGAAATAAAGAAAAAGAAAGGAAGAAAGAAAGAAAGAAAGAAAGAAAGGAAAAGTGCTGTCAGAAAGAAATAGAAAGAAAGAGAGAAAGAAAGAAAGAAAGAAAGAAAGAAAAAGAAAGGAAGAAAGAAAGAAAGAAAGAAAGAAAGGAAAAGTGCTGTCAGAAAGAAATAGAAAGAAAGAGAGAAAAAAAAAGAAAGAAAGAAAGAAAGAAAAAGATACTAGAAAGAAATAAAGAGAAAGAAGGAAAGAAAGAACATAAAGCATGGAAAGAAAGAAAGAAAGAAAGAAAGAAAGAATGAAAGAAAGAAAAATTGCTGTCAGCAAGAAATAGAAAGAAAGAAAGAGAGAAAGAAAGAAAGAAAGTAAGAAAAAGATATTAAATAGAAATAAAGAGAAAGAAAGAAGGAAAGAAAGAACACAAAGCATGGAAAGAAAGAAACAAAGAAAGAGATACAAGATATAGACAAAATGAAAAGAAAGAAAGAAAAAAGAGAAATAAAGAAAACGGAAGAAAGGAAAATGGAGAAGCAAATATCAGAAGAAATCCCGCCAAAATATGGTCGCCATTTTTTAAAAATCTTTATCTCGTTATTTTTTTATGAACTTTTTACTTCTTCGCGTCATTTCACTTTATAACGTTGAGAATTTCTCTTCATTATCCTTTGAAGTACATTTTAAGCCGAGGTGCAGTGAAGAAACAAAAGAGAAGAAAAATACAGAAGCAGATTAAAACGAATTTAAGAATAAAAAAGAAGAATTAAAAAGAAGAATTAAAAAGGCAAAGTAAATGAAAAGATGATGAAAATAATAAAGAAAGCAAGTAAGATAGAAAGAAGAAAAATAAATAAGAGGAAGCATAAAAACGAGGAAGGAAGGAAAGAAAGGAAAAAGGTAATAACGAGGTAACAAAAGAACGAATGAACGAAAGAAAATAATAGAATTAAAAGAAAAAAAAAAAAAGAAAGAAAAAAGGAATACATGCCAAACACATGATTAAAACGAAAAAAGAAAGAAAAAAAAGAAAGAAATTAAGAACAAATAAAGGATTAAAAAGAAAGAAGATAACAAAATGAAGAAATAAAGAAAAGAGTATAAAAAACGGGCATAAAAGAAAGAAAGAAAGAAAGAAAGGAAGAACGATGCAAAAAAAGAGATAGATGACAAAGACAAGATGAAAACAAAGAAAGAAAGGAAGGAAGGAAGGAAGGAAGGAAAACGAAAAAATATAAAAGAAAGAAAAAGAATAAGAAAATAAGTTATGGAATTAAAAAAAAACACAGAAAATGAAGAAAAAACATAGGAAAAGTCAAGTTTGAAGAGAAAGAAAGAAGGAAGTTAAAAGAAAGAGATACAGGATAAAGACAAATTGAAAAGAAAGAAAGAAAGAAAGAAAGAAAGAAAGAAAGCAAAATAAATAGAGGTGTCAGAAAGAAAGAAAGAGAAAGAAAGGAAGAAAAAAGAGGTATTAGAAAGAAATAAAGAGAAAGAAAGAAGGAATGAAAGAACACAAAGCATGGAAAGAAAGAAAGAAAGAAAGAAAGAAAGAAAGAAAGAAAGAAAGAAAGAAAGAAAGAAAGAAAAAAGAAAGAAAGAAAGAAAGCAAAATAAATAGAGCTGTCTGAAAGAAAGAAAAAGAAAGAAAGGAAGAAAAAGGTATTAGAAAGAAATAAAGAGAAAGAAAGAAGGAAAGAAAGAACACAAAGCATGGAAAGAAAGAAAGAAAGAAAGAAAGAAAGAAAGAAAGAAAGACAGAAAGAAAGAAAGAAAGGAAAAGTGCTGTCAGAAAGAAATAGAAAGAAAGAGAAAGAAAGAAAGGAAGAAAAAGGTATTAGAAAGAAATAAAGAGAAAGAAAGAAGGAAAGAAAGAACACAAAGCATGGAAAGAAAGAAAGAAATAAAGAAGGAAGAAGAATAGAAAAATAAAAAAGAAAGTAAGAATAAGAAAATAAATCAAGGAATTAAAACAAAACAAGTAAAATCACAGAAAATAATTAAAAAAATATAAGAAGAAATCTCACCAAAATCTGGTCGCCATTTTTTTTTATCGTTTTTTCTTCTTTAAACACTCGACGCCTGTTATTCTTTTTTAAAATTCCTTCTTCTCGTTTCACTTTCAAAAAATTGACAGTTTTTTGTTATCCTTTGAACTGCATTTTGTCGCGGGGGTGGAGCAGGAAGTAAGAGTGGGAAAAATCAAAAAGCAAGCAAACGAAGTTTGTTCTGTGTGCGCGTCGAAATGCAAAGATCAGTAAGGATGTGTGGGGACAGCGAAGCTAATGGCGGTGAAGAAAGTAAGATGCGATATTTGTTGTTTTTCAAGTAGATTGTTTTGGAAACAAAGATGGACTGAGTACAAAATCGGGCTTCAAATTCGTGTTTGCTTCCGGCAATATAATGAAAAAGAACAACAACAACAATAATAATAATAATGATAATAATAATAATATCTGCACTGGGAAATCTCCAACGCTTACGGAAAGGGAACTGCAGGAAATTATGAAAACCACCCAGACCCGGTTACGGAGATAGGACCTGTAACAATCTTATAGGACTTTACAATACACGCAGACAGCAAAATCAAAGCCAATCACCCTGTTTACGTGATTAGAGGCCTCAAAGACAAAATGGCAATCCTTGCAATGTATCTTTGAAGGTCTTCAAAAACAGTCAAAATACAAAGTTCCTTGAAATGGAAATCTCAAAACTGTGGTGCATGAGGACAATTAACATTGCAATTGTTGCTGGAGCCCTCGGAGTGGTTGGAAAAGATTCCAATAGACTCATTAAAGGGATTCCTGGTAGCCCATGCCTTAAAGAAAATACAAAAAAAAAAAAAACTCTAGTCACAAGTACAGCCCACACATTACAAACAACATTATCTATGTAAAATATGAATAATTTCTTTTTTTCAAAACTGTTCAGTGGAAAAATGTCATGATGCCGTTTCTGAACTTAGGTCTCTGGTCGGGACCCGGAAAGAGAAATGTGTACACGTCAGAAATCAAAGGAAATAAAACAAGAACAACAAGAACAACGACAACAATAATAATAATAATAACTAAAAAAAACTATAAAATTACAAGGACCTTGTAATGGAAATCACAAAAATGTGGCGCATGAAGACATCAATAATTCCAGTTGTAGTTGGAGCCCTCGGAGTGATTGGAAAAGATTCCAAATTGTACTCACAAGTACAACCCACACCTTACGAAGGGCTTTATCTATGTAAAATATGTGTAATTTCTTTTTTTTAAACTGCTGAGTGGAAAATGTCATGATGCCATTTCTGACCTTAGGTCTCTGTTCGGGACCCGGAAAGAAATGAGTATAGACCACAAACCAAGGGAAATAAAACAATAATAATAATAATAATAATAATAATAAATAAACATTTTTTTATCAGCGGTGGCGGGGTGGGGGGGCTGTAGCGTATCACTGTTTAATATAAGTGGTTGTAGTTCGAATCCAGTGATTTCCAGTACAGACTATCAAGAACTCCTCATTTTAGAAACAGAATCATCAGAAACTTCTTATTGCTTGAAATTTGTCTTTGATTCGACTAATAATAGCTTCCTTCGGAGTTCGGATGTTTGTCTTTCAGGCGCATAACGCCAGCTCAGGAAAGCATTTACCTCCAGCCCTCTTGATGAAGAGGCTACAAAGCCAGGCAGAGGAAGAAATTACAGATATACAACTCGTAGGGAAACCATGATGACTACCCTGGAATCAAGTCAGCAAAATTTTTCTTTGGGACAGAAAATAGGAATACATAGTTTTGCTTATCGTCCGGTTAACACTTTTCCACGGTATTTCAAACAGGAGTAGAGGTTCATCCGTTTTCTGTTAGGATGGGGTTTCCAGGTCTTTCTAAAGTTTTCTCTTTCTCTTTCACCCCTAGTAGCCTCATAGCGTCTTAGTAACACTATCAACTTGCTTGGAATGAACCGATAATAAAGAGAAAGAAACATCGTACCTATGCGGGGGCCAGACACCGAGACAAGCGCGTTCAACTCTGGGGACTGACAGACACACTAGGAGAAGATGGGGGTTACAAAGACTGCTAACATTTATCGCATTCAGCTCATATCTATCTATCTATCTATCTATCTATCTATCTCAGTTGGTCATTGTTGTAACCTAGGGAAGGTTACTGAATAGAATAATCGCACGAAGGTTGGTAATGAACGATAATACTTAGGACAAGAACAACACATATAAGATTCGCCAGCGGCGCGTAGAAGTAGTCAAATGAATTACACAATGAATCTCCAACTGCAGACCAACATATAGCATTTAGTACTACATTTATGTGAATAGAGACATACCCATTATCGCCCGTAGGTATGCTACAGCAATTATCTAAGTTGGTTATTGTTTTACTGAATAGAATAATCACACGAAGGTTGGCAATGAACGGATATACTTCGGACACGAACAAAACATATAAGTTTCGCCAGCGTCACGTAGAAGTAGTAGTCAACTGCTAGAAGTGAGTAAAATGAATTCTACAACTGAAGACCAACATACAGTATTTACTACTATATTTATATGAATGGGGATATACGCATTATCGTCCCTAGATATGCTACAACACTTATCTATCTATCTATCTATGAAGAAAAATATACGGAAAAACAAACAAAAATCCTTATATACAATCATGCTGTTTTAATGTTAATATAATGTCAACGTCGGACGTTTCGGTCTAATAAACCATCTTCAGGACATATTCATAAATTATAACATTATCAATACAACATGACAAAGACGATGTACATAAGAACAAGACATTATCCAAACAAATAACTGAAAGTTTTATAAGATCAGCGTTCCTTTTAAACATGATACGTTGTCGTCACGTGGGCGACGCTGTGAAAATGTATTCCTAAAATTTGAGTATTTTGAATGAAAAATGAAAAATGAAAATCTATCTATCTATCTATCTAATTGTTAATATATATCTGTCTGTTCAAATCTCTCTATCTCTCTATCTATCTAATTGTTAATATCTATCTATCTATCTATCTATCTATCTATCTATCTATCTATATAATTGTTAATATATGTCTGTCTATCTGTCTGTTCATATCTATCCATCTACCTATCTATCTATCTAATTATTAATATATGTCTGTCTATCTGTCTGTTCATATCTATCTATCTATCTATCTATCTATCTATCTATCTATCTATCTATCTAATTGTTAATATATGTCTGTCTGTCTGTCTATCTATCTATCTATATATATATCTGTCTGTCTGTTCAAATCTCTCTATCTCTCTATCTATCTAATTGTTAATATCTATCTATCTATCTATCTATCTATCTATCTATCTATCTATCTATCTATCTATCTAATTGTTAATATATATCTGTCTATCCGTCTGTTCATATCTATCTATCTATCTATCTATCTATCTATCTA